GTCGGAAATGTTAAAGAAAAATGGAAAAAATGGAAGCAAGAGCTAGAAAACTATTTACTTGCAACGGAAGAAGATGCTAAGTGAGATAAGACTAAAACTGCAATCCTTTTGAATTTATTCGGTACTGAAGGACTCGAAATTTAGAACACGTTTCGATTTCAGCCACCTGAGAATAAAGGAAATACGAAGAGGTCTTGAAGTCTTTGAAGATTATGTTCACCACGGCAGAATGTCGTATAAAACGTTACAAATTCTTTTCGTGTAGCGAGCAAGAAGGACAAATAGTTGAATGTTATGTCACTCAGTTAAAGACTTTAGCTTCAACTTGTGAGTTGGCTAAACAAGAAAATGGATTGATTTGCGACCGTATTGTATTAGGCATTCGGGATAGGAGTCTGACTGAATGTTTGCTTTGAGAATCTGACCTGGGATTAGAAAAAGCTATAGAAATAGTCCATGTCGCTGAAACAAGCAAAGAGCAACTCCGGAACATGAAAGATGATCCGGCGACTGTGAACAGCATGAAGAAATATAGAAAGCAGCAGCATCAATCAAAACAGTCAGTGCCACCAAAGTTGTTGTCACAGCAGAAGCAATGAACACTAGAATATGACTGCAAGAAGTGCGGAAAGAAGGTACAAATATCGGGACTGTCCAACTTTCGGAAAGACGTGTGCGAAATGCAAAGTAAAGAACCATTTTGCCGTGAGGTGTCCCAAGAACATTTATGAAGTTGAAATACCAAATAATGAACTTAGTATATATAATGAACCAGGTATTTGTTGACTCTGTAATGATAAATCTACCAGTAAAACGGGCATAGTAATTTAAAATAAGTGCAAAATCAATCAAAGATCTAACAAATTCCATTGATGAAGTAAATAAGGATACTTCACAAGGTAAGTGAAACATGGGTGAAAAGTATTACAATGTATGTAAATAATAGTCTTTCAAGGTTGATTTTAAGTTAGATACTGATGCAGAAGTAAATATTTGCCTTTGTACGTTTTAAATAATGTTAAACTTAAGCCTAAGCTTAATGAAACTGATTTGTTCTTAACTGCATATGGTAATTTTAAGTTAAAACCAGAAGGTACTCTTGTAATTAATTGTTCAACTGAAAGGCTTAAGAATGTACCTTTACAGTTTTATGTTCTTGATGTAAGATCTAAGCCTATATTAGGGTTAACAGCTTGTTCTGCATTAAAGCTAATTGAAAGGATTGATTCCTTAAAGTGCAATATCATTAATAAAAATGATTTAATTGCTCAGTATAAAGATGTATTTACAGGTACAGGGCAATTTCCTGACGAACCATATCATATAACCCTTAAAGATGTTGCATAACCAGTAATACATACACCCCCAAGATGTGTTTCCTCAGGCTTTACAGCCTAAATTAAAAGATACTTTAGATAACTTGAAAGAGAAGGGATAGTATCGAAATAAATAAACCAACTGATTGGGTTCAAAGTTTGGTTATAGTGAAAAAACCTAATGGGAGTCTGAGATTATGCTTGGATCCTAGAGATCTAAATAAGTAATTAAAAGGGAACACTATCAAATTCCTTCTCCAGATGAGATAATTAGTAGGTTAGAAGGTAAAAAAGTACTTTCAGTTGTAGATTTAAAAGATGGATTTTGGCATGTACCATTAGATGAAGCTAGTTCTGACCTATGAACATTTAATACTCCTTATGGAAGATATAAATTTAATAAAATGCCACTTGGAATATCCTCCACCAAAAAAATATTTCAGAAAAGAAACCAAAAATTATTTGGTGATACTGAGGGTGTGGAAGTTTATTTTGATGATATCATAATTGCAGGATCTGATGAGATTACTCATGATATAATTATCTCTAAGGTTCTTGAAAAAGCTAGATCTCTAAATATAAAATTTAATCCTGATAAATTACAATATAGGGTACCGGAAGTCAAATATGTAGGCCAGATTATTTCTGAGTCAGGTGTAAAAGCCGATCCTAGTCATATTAAAGCAATTACTGATTTGCCAACACCAAAATCAAAAACTGAAGTAAGGAGGTTGTTAGGAACGCTAAATTTCCTGTCAAAATTCATACCTAATGTATCTAAAGTTACTGCTCCTTTAAGAGAAATCATTCAAGAAAAGGTAGGATTTAATTGGGGAAAGACTCAGGAAGAGTCATTTAACAACATCAAACAACTGCTAACCAAAGCTTCAATTTTAAAAGTTTTCAGTGGTAATGAGAATACAGTGTGATAGTTCGAATTATACAGTGTGATAGTTCGAAGGATGGCCTAGGATCGTGTCTAATTCAAAAGGATAAGCCTGTATCATTTGTGTATCGCAGACCTACTAACAGTGAAAAAAACTATGCACAGATCGAAAAAGAGCTATTGGCCATAGTATTTTCTTTTGAAAAGTACCACAATTTTGTTTATGGACGGAAAGTCACAGTACAAAGTGATCATAAATCGTTAATGGCAGTTGTTAAGAAACCATTGCATAAAATTGCATCTAGAATGCAAAGGATGATCTTAAGTTACTAAAGTATGATTTTGAAATAAATTATGTTCCAGGTAATCAAATGCTTTTTGCTGACACTTTGTCATGAGCATATCATGTGAATGAAACTATTAGTGATGATCCTGAAATGCTAAATCTTGTTCACATTATTTTAAAATATTTGCCTATGAGTGAAAGAAGAGTGGTACAATTTAGGAAAGAAACCGAATCAGATCCAGGTTTGCAAGTAGTTATGAAATATATTAAAGACGGTTGGCCTAAATGTTACAAAAAGTAAGATAGTAGTGTAAAAACATATTTTAAAGTTAAAAATGACCTTTATATTAATGACGATTTGTTATTTATTAATGAAAAATTAGTTGTACATTATGGTTTGAGAAAAGATATGTTGCAATTAATTCATGAAGCACATTTTGGAATTGAGAAATGTAAAAGTAGAGCCTGTGAAATTTTTTACTGGCCAGGTATGACAAATGAAATTGAGCAGCTTGTTTCCAAATGTGAAATATGAGAAAAATTCAGAAATAGAAATCAAAAAGAACCTATAATGCAACATGAAATTCCAACTAAACCATTCGAAAAAATTGCCCTTGATATCTTGCAATTTGGTAATCAAAATTACTTAGTAGTTATCGATTATTACTCTAAATGGATTGAGGTTTCTAACATAAAAGATAAGACAACAAATGAAATTATGATAAAGTTAAAATGCATCTTTGCCAGGTATGGTATTGCAAATGAAGTCATTTGCGACAATAATCCCTGTAATAGCTACTGATTTAAGAAATTTGCTGAAGATTGGGATTTCGAACTTAAATTTAGTAGCCCCAGATATCCTCAAAGTAATGGGTTGGCTGAAAAAGCTGTAGGAATAGCGAAAAAAATCATGAGAAAAGTGCAAGATATAAGTGTAGGCTTAATGAAATATTGAAATACCCCAATTAGTGGAATAAATTGTCTCCTGCACAATTTTTTCTTAATAGAAGATTAAGGACAAAACTACCTATCAGTAATAAATTGTTAAATACTAAAATAAACAAACCTTATTCTAAATTTCGTGCACAAGCTAGGCAAAAATATTATTATGATAGAACCGCACAGAAACTGTCTGAGTTAAAACCTGGAGATAGTATAACCTTGTTCAACTTTAGAACTGGGCAATGGGATAAAGGTGAAATAATTTCAAAAAATAAAGCTCCTAGATCTTATATTGTAAGAAATTCAAATGGGGGAATATTACGAAGAAACAGACGCCGTATAAAATTTTCAAAATGACTTTGCAAAGTTAATAATGATTATGATAATATATTATTATAAAAAGAGGAAAATTCAAATGGAAGCCCTGAGAATGTTTCTGTGCCTGTTAATACAGGAAATCAAGAGAATAAGCTATCCAATAATACAATAACAACAAGTCAACGGTTGATTAGATAACCTTCAAGATATAGAGACTTTGTCATGGAATAAAATAATGTAACATATTGCATATATCATTTTTATGTAACTTTTTTTATTGTATGTCATATTGTGAATATACTTGTATTGATATTATTTACTATTTTTATTATTGTTTATAAACTGGAGGAAGGGATGTGATGTATATTTAAAATAACTATAACTGCAAATGTAAATAACTATAACTTTAACTGTAATGGTGTTCATGCTATGGGATTCCGTTGTTCTGATGCACGTGTTACTGTGCTAGCTGAATGTCATTTGAACTGTTTAAAAATGTAATAATAAAAATTTTGAATTCTTGAGATATACTCATTAGTTGAGTCTACTTATAAAGTATAAAAGTTATTAAGTTTAACAAACTAAACAAGAAGTTACAGTAATAAGTTTATTAATGCTTCCCTTTATGTTCGAAATCAAAGGTGGGAGCATGAGCCATTCTACCTTCATGATTTTTTTACTGTTTTTATTTCTGGAGTCCTGACTTTCAAATAAGTTAGAAGCAGTCACCTTTTGAAAGTAAGACTGCAATGAGAGCTTATATCACTGGGCTAACTTAATGTCTTTTACTACAACTCATTACTGTATTTTGACAGCAATGTAATTAGCACTCAAATGTTTCAAGTTCCTTCTTGTAAAATAAAATGTAATAAATGTTTATGTCATAAGAATGGATGAAATTTAGTTTAAGACTCAAGATTTACTCCCGAACAGGAGCGGTGTTGACAGAAAGACCATACATATGATTTATTTACAATTACAAGTTTACAAGTTTCTCAGGAATTTTTGCACCTTACAATAATAATAAAAATAGATAATAAAGGTATTTAACAATCATCAAGAAATTTTAATTTCAGTTAAAAGCTTTGCCTGGAACACAGAGATGAAAAATAAGACTGAATATTATGAAATGAACAAGATGAAATTTTGTTTCTCACAGTAATCAGATGTTAAAAGAAATTGAACCAGTTTTCTACAAAATGTAAAGCACTTTCTAAATATTCACATATTTTATTTGGAAAATGTTACAAACCTGACTATCCAAACCCAACATTAATATCATGAAGAAAAACAAGATTGCCCATAAAGGAGCCACTGGCATCTGTGTAACTGCTTTAGGATATGCTATAAAGGCTAAGCCAGGACCTAGAAGAGCAAAGATATTTATCAGTTCTTTAAAAATTTTTATTACACAAGGGAATGACATCTAATGTAACAGTTTATAATTTATTTAATGCCAATAATTATAACATTCACCAAAACAATTTAAACAAATTTATAATTATACACAAATAATTCCATTTGTATAGCATACAAAAGTGAATCTGAATATAAGACACATTGTAAAATAAATTTAAGAATTAGATGGCATGCACTTAACTCCTAATTATATGTACTAAGCAATACAATAGTGCACACGAAAAGCAGAAAACCAAAAATAACCTTTATATAAAAAAAGCACAAGTTCGAAATGAATGGTATATGGTGTGTTATGTAAAATACAGTCAAAAGTCATTAATTCCGACACCCATAATCCGGACCTCAAAGCTACTGACGCATGCGTGTAAGACTTTTACGGCTGTGCATATGCATGTGTGATGCGCGTTTAATGTATAACGGACAGTATAAGCTAAGATAAGCTAAAATTATCTAATTCAGTTAATGTTGCAGATTGCGTTGTTCCTTAATCTTTGAATTGGATCCGGCTTATTATTTTTTGCAGACTGTTAGAGCAATTTTATAAAAGTAAGCTTGAACTTTCAATTATGTGAAATAGAATTTCCGATATATGTTTACTAATATGTAAAGGATCTACAAATCGAAAGTATGTTTCGAAGTCCATTAAATAAAAAGTGGAATTGCTGCAAAAAATTAATAAAGGCATATCCTTTTCTTCTCTAACCATTCCAAAATCTGTTTATCAATTTCACGCTGCGGCGGGAGGGGGAGGGAAACGCCGCAGCGTGATATGAATTGGAAGTTGATCTGTCAGCACTGTCCTTATCTTCAAAGCAGATGTTTTCATTTTATTTGGCTTATAATTCCTTACTAAATGTAGTATTTCATCTCGATGCATTCCATCTTTGATATGATTTAAATCAAATTCCTCGTCATTATAATTTGCTTACGATAGTGAAGAAAGTGACACAGAAGTTATTGAAAACGAAAAAATTTTGATTGACAAATTAGTCGGTATTCTCGACACAGCAATTATATGACTTGAACAGCAGAACTTTGTAACTGAACAAGAAATTATGTCTGTTTATAGAATTAAAGAGAAAGTATTATCACATAAAACGAAGCAACTTATATTGAAAGAAATGTTTAATAAAGTAAACAAAAAAATATTAAGCTTTTTTTTTTGTTGTTGTTGTTGTAAATTTTGATACCTTTATATCATAATTGTTCTTTATTTCATAAATTACGGTTTCATATTTTTAATTTTATAATTTCTGCATGCCATCTTACTAGATTTAAACTGATGATCTATAATCCGGAAAAATCAATAATCCGGAATCGCCAAAGTCCAGACGAGCCCGGATTAACGACTTTTGACTGTACTACCCCCCCACCACTCTTGAACAAAGATCAGATCACATAAATTTACAAGTGTTAGGGAAAAAAATCAGAATGTTGGGGTTTTAATTTTTGAATTTAATATTTGAAAATACTTTGCTTATGAACCGGTGAAGAACCCCTGATTTACACTCTATAACAAAAAAACTTATGCACCAAAAAGAAGTTGTATGAGGGAGATAAAAAATTGTTAGATAGCAAGATTATGTATTGAATAGAAAAAGATAAAAATTTCAGAACAATTGAATTATTTATTTCAGAGTTGCATAGTTACAAAATACAAGCTCAACAAGGTACTGACCCACCTCTAGCCTGCATGCAAGCTGCCACATGGCGTGGTGTAGACTGATAAAGCTTCCTGATAGTCTCCTGCAGTATTTTTTGCAAATTTGCTCCAATTGTTGGGCTAGGTCATCAACATTCCCTGGTAGATGCAGTTGCCTTCTCATCATATCCTAGACATACTCAATGGGAGAGAGATCTGGCTGGCCAAGGAAGTGTTTGACAAACTGTAAGACACATAGCAACACGTGCCGTATGTGGTCTGGCACTATCTTGCTGTGAAAATACGGCCAAAAGGAACGATAACAAAACAGGTCTCAGAATGTCATTGGCGTACTGCTGTGCTGTAAGTCTGCCTCAAATGATGGTCAAAGAGGTCTGGCTATCAGGAGAAATGACATCCCAAACCATAACTCCCTAGTTGAGAGCCTGTGTGACATGCAATAGTGAAAGCAGGATCAGGCATCTCCAGACACATCTTCAATGATCCTCACAACACAGTTGGAAATGGGATTCATCGCTAAAGACTATACATCCCAAGTCTACATCATTATAACCTGATCAAGACAAGCGCCACTGTAATCTGGCTTGACAGTGTGCAAGCGTGAGTAGCAGGTGGCATAATGGTCGGTACAAGCATAGATTTTGTTCTATCTGTTTTAATCATATTAATATTTATTGATCCATAATTAAGTTCATTACAACACTCTCACATAGCACACTGTTTAATCCAGACCAACATCAACTGACAATTACTTCACTTCAGTTTGACCAGCAACTAGTGTGTTGCCACATATATGTAACATCTCCCCTCTTTTGGAAAGCTCATAGGAATCGATGCATTACATAATCATATTTGGATGGTCGATATACATTACGACCACTTCTTGTTTTATATACACAATCACGATTAATATTATTGCCATTATTTTGATGGTGAGGATCACTATGTATTTTTGGATGTTCACTACTTATATTTACCTCATTCTCATTACATAGATCATAATAGTCTAATGTCACTAAATTCTGATTTTTAGTTTTTCTTAAATGGAATTTATTATGTCTAATTACCCTATTATCTTTTGTTCTAATCCAATATGATCTAGGAGTTAAATGTTTTTTTAAAACTATAGCAGGCTCCCATTTATTTTCAAATCTCAACATTACCTTTTCCCCAGGAATAAATTCAGGTCTTTCCCTTGCATGCTTATCATAATAGATTTTAGCCTTGTTTCTGCTTACTCCTCACCTTTTCTCTATATTGATCTTTTACAGTTGGTTTCAATTCTGTATGTGTAATTGGTAATCGTGTTCTTAAATTCCTACTTAATAGCATTGGACTTGGTGATAGATTTATACCTGAAATTGGAGTATTTCTATATTCCAGTAAAGCCTCATTTAATTTCTCTAATCCTGCTTTTCTAAATAAACTCTTAGCTATACCTACCAACTTTTCTTCTGCAAATCCATTAGATTTAGGATATCGAGGATTGCTAGTGGATTATTTCAAATCAAATCCCCAATCCCCTGCGAAACCTTCATTTTCCAGCTATTAAATGGTACGTTATCACAAATTAAAGTTTTGGGTATTCCATGTGTTGCAAATGTTCGATTTCAATTTACTAGTAACTTCCACTGCAACTTTTATTTTTTAGAGGAATTATGTCTACCCATTTAATATTGAGTTTTTTAGCTTTGATTGATGACCTCTGTTAAAATTTTGTCATGTTCTTGTATAGTGCTAGCAGCAATGAGGATGTCATCAAAATAGACTAATACTCCTGGTATATCACCAAAGTTTTCAAGATTGCATTTCTGAAAAATTTCAGGTGCACAGGAAATACCCATTGGAAGACTTAAGAATTTATAGCATCCAAATGGTGTGCTAAAAGTACAAAGACCAATACTATTTCCATCTAACGCTATTTGAGAAAAAAAAAAAAAAAAAAAAACCATCCTTTAAGTCCAAAACAGAGTAAATTGATTTATTACATAGCTTTGGTAAAATCTCCTCGAATGTTGAAATCAACACATGTTCGCTTTTTATAGCTTTGTTAAGATCTTGAGGATCAAGGCATATTCTTAAGGATCCATTAGCTTTTTCAATTATTAGTAGATTGCTAACCTAGTTCAAAGGTTGATCAACTTTTGCAATAATGCCCTGTCTCTCTAATTCACTTAATTTTAATTCAAGTTTAGGTTTTAAACTAAGTGGTACTCTACATGGTGGTCTCACTACAGGAGCTATCTGATCATCAACCATAATTTTACACAATCCATTAAATTTTCCCACACCTTCAAACACTTCTGAATTATTAATAATAAATTGATCTTTAGATGGAGGTAAAACAATTGTATACTGATCCAACTTACCTTAAATTCATATTCCAACCTAATTTATAAACTGAATTAAATTAAGTTTAACACATGCATCAATTCCTAATAATAGACGTATATGCTTGCTAGAAACAATTAAAAACTCTGGAGTATGATCCACACCATCTGAGACATTAATGACCCATCAGGTTTAACCTTGGACCCCCAAAATGTTTAAAATAAGATTAGAGTTCTTAGCACTCAGTGTTTCGTAAGTTTTCACAGGCAAAACATTCACTTCAGACCCAAAATTCACAGTTCCCTTCAACAATTACAGTTTTAGCCCACTCTTTTGTAGACGATGTTGAGCACACACTTTTAGTTCTTTGAACATTTATGGAATTCACAAAGAATTCATCATCAGATTCCCTATATACATCTACGTTATCATGCTGAGAAACATTTTGGATGTGCTTCAGTCTGCACATAGTCGAAAAGTGATTTAGTTTGCCACAATTAAAGCATTTTTTCCATATGCCGGACACTGTCCATTAACGTGATGTCTGTTGCATTTTTTACATAAAGATGTCTTAGTATTTGAAGTGTCATCACACCATCCACTGTGCTTCCTCACTGCTAAGGTTGCATTGGCTCCTCCTGCCAGATGTTGCTTCACTTTCCCTCTAGTTACGCTGTCGACATTGTGTTCTCTTAACGTTTGAGCACGAGCTTTGCTCAATTCAGCTGCTTTCCCTAATTCAATTGCTTTTTCCAAACCCATATTATTTTCTCGCACCATCCTCTCCTGTAAACTGGCATCTGATACTCCAAAGACAATGCGATCACGTATGACAGAGTCACTCTGCTCACCAAATTTGCAAGATTTTACAAGTTTTTTCAAGTCAGTTACGAAACAATCAAAAAGTTCTCCTTCTTCTTGTTTTCTCTTATTGAATAAAAATCTCTCCACCACAACATTTGTTCTAGGCGTTGTGAAAGATTCAAACATCTCAAGCACTTTTTCATAGTTACCCTGATCTCCTGTTGAAAGATTGAGCGTGTTCTGCTTCCTCACCAGCGGCATTTAAAAATAAAGCGACTTTCACATCTGAATCTTTTGAAGCATTTCCTGAAGCTTTCATATAAATCTGTAACAGCTGCTTGAATCTGCGCCAGTTTTCAGCCACATTGCCGTCGAAACTTAGGCCTTGCAGTGGGCGACAAAATTCCATCTTGCATCTGCTGAAAGGAAAAAAAACCAAAGGGATTGCCTGGCAATTAGTTGTAATACTATTCCACACGACTACGCCATGGTTTAATCATATTAATATTTATTGATCTATAATTAAGTTCATTACAACACTCTCACATGGCACATTGTTTATTCCAGACCAACATCAACTCATAATTACTTCACTTCACTTTGACCAGCAACTAGTGTGTTGCCACATATATGTAACACTATCAGCTGTCTGTGAATGGTCATGGTGGACACTCATGTGCAGGTCACATGTCTGACGGTTGATAGCGATGAATCAGGTGCTGTGACAAATGATCTGACAATAACTCTGTCCTCCCAATCTGTTATGGCCCTATATCATCTGCTAATATCATGACGCTGAAATCTGCCCTTGACCACCCACCCATTCTTGCCAGGTTCTTCTGATCGTCGCATTGTTTCGATTCATATAATGAGCGATTCTCTGATTTGCCCAATGTGCCTCTATCAATCCAATGATACGATCTCTTCCAAACTCTGGCAGTTGCCTGTAATGAGCCCGACATTTTTTTAGTCGTTGTAAGGTATCCTAAATTGCAATGCAATAGGAAGTTTTAACAACAGTCCAAGAACAGCTCCTTATATATATATATATATATCTGCTGGATGCACAGTTCTGATGTTCTGGAAATCTCACTATTCATTCATTGGACACCAAATTTTAATCACTTGCATATTTGGTCAAAACATTTATGCATACAAAATTTCAAAGCAATCGGATGATTTCTTCTTGGTGAGCCGATTTTTTTGTTAAAGAGTGTTAAATTGGTAAGGCAAAATTTTTAAATCAAAGAAATATCGACCACCACTCCTCATATTTTCAGTTCTATCAGTTTAGAAGATTACTTACATAAAAACATGAGAAAGATATTTCTACAAATCAGCAAAAAATTTTAGATGCTAATTGAGAATTTAAATAAAAATAATTAATAGAGACATTATCTTGGAAGATGACTAATTATTAATATCACTATGACTAATTATCTGATCATAAGAATGATACAATGGCAATTATGTATACTAAACAATAAAATGAGATATTTAAAGAATAAAATAAGATTTTAATGATAACTACATCTTGATCCATGTTTGAAATGAATTCAGCAATAATTCAATAACATCAGTAAGTACATATATGCTACTTACTTAAATGTACCATATTCAATTTCAGTTTACATATGCATCTCCAGCTGATGTACCATAATTCTACACAATCATTGAAGTTTTTATCCAATAATAAAATGCAATAGCGAAATCTGTAGACATAAAAATTCTATACTTCTTAAGTTAAATTCTTTTAGGTGAATGTAACTGATGCAATTAACTAAAATAAATTTGATCAATTTATATAAAAAAATGAAAGTATGCCTTATAAAAAGCATCATTATTTTATTAACATTTATAATTTATGCTATGGTCAACAAATTACAGATGTTAAAATAATTAGGTTCACTGTTAAACTAGTATTTATGGCAAAGTCATATCGAATACTCAGAAAATAATTTTTAGTTAGCAAAAATATGCTAGAATGTTAAGTTAAAGTGCTAGATCCATGAAAATGAATCACATTATCTTCACTTTAGGCCATAAAGGGCAATTGCATCAAAATTAATTGACTTAGTTTTCAAATAATTAAATATGCAAAAATAGTTTTCAATTTAGAAATGTAGGCTGGCAGAAGAAAAATAATTCTGTTGAATAAATTTTGTAAATAAATTTTCATAAAATGCCAATTAAAACATTGCTTTAATTACAAGCAAAATAACTTACCACTTTCTGCAACATATTCAACATCAACACCAAGTTCAGTGGCCATGAAACCAAGCACAGAGAAAATTGCAAAGCCAGCATACAAGCTTGTTCCACTATTTAAACAAGCTATGAATATACATTGCCTAAAATATTAAATTCACGTTACTTTTTTATATATGTATAATAAATTAAATCTTTTATCAAAAAACTAAATGATATACAAAATACAACTTAGACAAATTGAGCAAATATACCTGTAAAAGTTGTTATGAAAATCATTGTAACTACCAAGTGCTGTCATACAGCCTAATGAAATGGCATAAGAGAAGAAAATTTGAGTTCCTGCATCAATCCATACCTAAGAAGAAAGTAATTGAATTTTTTGAACAAATTCAGTATCAGTTACTCATAGTTTAAAAAAGGTGAAATCTTAAAACTACAAACCAGAGTGAAATGCAATAAAAGAAAATTTAAATTACATATTCCTAATTCTATAACATAAGCCTTTTGAGCCAATAAATCAGACCTAAAAAAACTCATATGGATAATGGATTACTATGAAATATTTTATATATCTACTGTTCAGAATGAAATATTCAATATACATGATTATTTTCAGAGCAAATGCTTCTATCAACAAAAATTTTTGGAAATGATAAACATAAATAAATATACACATGTATTTATGATTTTTAATGAGAAATTATAAAATTGCAAAATGTTATGCTGAAATGAAAAATGTAAACATAGTAACATAACAAAGCAATCACAATTCAGTTTTGAAAAATTTAAATTAGGTAAAAAAGCAACTTTAATTGGCATAGATTTTGAATAAAGTTCTATTCTATAGGCAATCAGACATAGTAAGAAGTCTCTTTTCTACAGGAGCAAATAAATTTTTGTTACGATGGGAGAAATGTAAACTTAAGTCTTGAAGACCTCATCCCAGATTGTAATTCTTGGGGAAATTTATAGCAAATCTTATCAATGTTGGTTTGACATACCAGGTAAATTAAACCAGCATTCATTAAAATTTTACATCAAGGAACTTGAATCCTATGTTCAAAAAGCAGAAATAAGCATATATTATAACAGTTAACCTATTCAAATAAGCAGATAGTTGGGCACTTAATCATAATTCTCATTTAAGTTCAGTAAAAATTACCTAGAAAGCTTCGTCAGCTGATAAATTAATTGCTAAAATTTATTGTATCAAAAGAAACATTTCAGAGATCTGAAACTTTCCATAAAAATACTCCTATAAATCTTCACAGTATCACGAAGAACAAGAACAATCAGTAGGGATGCTTCAAACTACTAAAAACATTAATCACAACACAATGCAAAGTGCAGCTAAAGACAAAAGCTAAACTCAAGATAGTATATGGAACTCATGCTGAGCTAACAACTAAGAGCAGCTGACATGGAATGGTGTTGCAAAGCCCCAAGTGCCTGGCTCATTTCTTTACCCCGAATCAAGCGATTAAAAATTTCAAAATAATATACTTAATAATACATTTATAAGGTGTTTCTTGCACCTTCTTAGCCTGCCTTCATGGTGTCAGAGGTTCACATGTATTCGAGACGTCCGTGGTTCAAGTCCCGGCAACGGCAGTGGTCGTAGTCATTTTTCATTTCTTCTGCTTCGAAATAACTTAATGTCTCTACAGTGGCGCCCAAAAACTAAAAGGTGGTGAATGATAATTCTTTGCCACCAGGATTTGGCATTTGGGTCCCCTAAACCCCATTCGCCCTTTAAAAGGGGGAGTATATAAGATGTTTCTCCCACCTTCTTAGCATGCCTTCAAGGATGTAGTGGTCAGCACGCTCCATGCGTACTCAAGAAGTCTGTGGTTCAAGTAATGGCAAGGGCATTGCTCATTTTTAATCTCTCTTGCTTTCGAAATAACCTAATGCTTCTACACATTAATAAATAAAATAACAAATTTGCATTCTGAAAATTTAAAAAATATATTATAAATGTTAATTAATTAGTTGGAGGAGATTGTTCATAAAACTGATCGAGCTGGGAACAAAAAGTACTCAAGTGCATAATGCAGTGGTCGTAGTGGTAAAGTTTATACATGATACACAATTTAAAAAGAATACATACAATAATAATAATCCAGTAAAATAACACAAATCAAGGAAGAAAAAATTATAAATAAAATGACATTAAATATTAAACTGCTTCATTATCAACCTAGAGTTTAGTACGGCCATGGGCTGCTTTCTAAGCTGCTTATCCACATAGTTATAGTTCGGGAGATCAGGATGACTAAGTGTTCTCATTTTTGCATAAATTTTCATGCAAGATAGTAATAAAATAATCTTATTTGGACAATTTCAAGTTCTTCATGAATGACATTATCACAAACGTACGAGAGTGCTTTGGAGATTTGTACAGAATTTCAGACTATACAGAACACAGTCTGTGCAGTCTGAAGTTTTTTCTGCCAGATTTACTAGAATACACCAAGACTAGACAGGCATAACATAACACGGGCTGCAACACAGACTTATAAAAGAGTAACACGTCAGTTGACAAAATGCTGTTTCAAGTAATCAAGGGGTATAGTTCAGTTTTATGAACTTAAAACTTCTGGAGAATAGACTGTATGTGTGAGGTCCAACTGAGAAAATTAGTGAGTATCACCCCCAGATAAGGGACTTCCTTAGCCCAGGGCACAGTTGTTCCATATAACTGCAGATGCTAGTGAATATTCTTTTTTTCTGGTGAACATGACTTCAGTGGTCTTCTCACGTTGACTTTGATTTTCCAGGCCTTTAGTCCATATATGTGGCTTTGAAGATGTTGAATAACTGGACTAAATGTGTTTTGTGCAAGGATTGTTGTAACATCAGCATGCACTGCAAATGTAGTGCGAGGTGTACTAAAAATGTCATTCACATAAATATTGTAAGGACCCCTGTGGTACACCTGTTAAAATAACTGAGAGCAGATGCTCTTTCCTGCCTTATATAGTTTTCACCCGACCACCGAGATATTTTTAGTATTTTCTGCTTCTCGAAACTAGACAGACAAAGCAGCTGGAAGGCAATATGAGGGTTGAATTGTGGTTGGAGCTAATATAGTGATCAATTACATCTATTCAATTACAATACCTACTACAGTGATCAGACCAAAATGCCGCCAAGTTTGATGAGTTTAGAGAATTTCACGGCAATTTTGGCAAAAAAAATTAGTTGCCAGCTTGGCGATATCTCGCCAAATTACCGAGATACCCATTTACTTAATGTTAACCAGACTTGCCCCTGTATTCTTACTTTTCCAGCATGGCTCACAGCTCTAGATTTTTCATGTTATATTACACAGAAAAGTACAACAATTTCATATGTACAGCACTTAAATCATCTATCCATGCACAAAATTCATAACAATATTAAACCAAAGTGAACTTCATATGAATGTGTTATGACATGGGACATCATAACATGACATCACTGGAGCTAAAACACACTGTTTGGCAATGATGTATACAGGTTAATAATATTTGAAACTCTATAATGGCATTACAAATCTTTTATTTACTAAAGTTTTCTGGGGAAAAATTTTCTAAAAATATTCCAGTTACTTGAGCTTGCCCATTAATTGAATGGCGGACAGTAGGGCTTTTACTGTACTTCAAACTCTATTGCCTTTACAATTTGCAGCTTCAGCATATATAGCTCATGTATGAATCTGCCTGATTACTTATGGTATTCAGATTAAAATATTTGTGAAGTTAACTATTGGATTAAACCACCCAAAAACAGCAAATAAGAACTTTAAAAAACATTTTAATATTTCTCCGAAGATAAAGAAAAATAAAAAATAGCAATTTTGGGTTCCTATCTATATACAATTTTTACAGTTAATACACTATTTTCGAAAAAAATGTAAAAAACACGGCTAAAACAACATAACATTTCAATGGCTCATTAACAAAGGAAGAACATAGAAATAGAGCATAAGAACTAAATTATTATTAACCCGCGAGCACACGCAGCGGGTATGTCATACCCATGTGCATTTTTCTTTTTGTATATTTCTCGCTCATTATTTCATAAAAGGTCGAAACTTGGTGTAGCTGAGTTCAAGGTCACATACTTAAATGGGGGAAATTCCTGAGGTGGTAAGTGCAACGGTTTTTTAGGAACAGCATTGTTCGGCATGTCATACCCGTGCGTGTACTCTCGAGTTTCTTCTCAGTGAGTCACTTCGCACTTCTCGTTTTCAAGCTTTTAGTATAGGTTTTTCTTGAGTCGTAAGCATGGTGCCGTATATTCTTTACGATGAAGTAGATGAAAAGATTGAGAAATCTCCTTGAAAACAGTTTCTTCTGATGAGGATTCATTTAGTGAAGAAGAGGAAGATGTTGATGACGAAGAATATAATAGTAATCATGATTCACCCATAGAGATAGTGATTCAGATACAGAAACAGAAAATGAAACTCTAGAATGTAGCAATGAGTTTTTATGTTGGAAAAAATGAAAAAAAAAATAAATTCCGGACTAATGTTAGAATTGGCGCCAAAAATATTATAACTAAACTACCTAGAAATACAAAGTATTCTAAAGACTTCTCAACACCTTTAGATTCCTTGTCATTGCTTATCGATGAAGATATGTTAAAACATGTATTTGACAGTACAAATATTTATATTGATTCAATACGAGAAAATTTTACTCGTAAATGGGATGAGTACTTTTCTCAAAGCCTTAGGGATGCAGCTAATAGAAAATGTTCAAAATGAACGACGACGAGCATCTGTGGTTCCTGATTCTGGACAAACACTGACCACCGATGAACATGTTAACAATGAACAGTCCCCCAAAAAACCTAAAATGACTTACAAGAGGTGTACAGAGTGCTCCAAGAAAAAAGATAGAAAGACTAGATTCATTTGTGAAAATTGTAGCAAAATTATATGTCTAGAACATATGACCTCATTTTGTAAACAATGTTCAAGAAGTAAGTAAATAATTTTTCCTCTCCTTATTGTTTCCTATTTTGTCTAAAATGAAGTATTAACTTGGTTTTACATTTAAATTCTTTTAAAAAAACGATTAATTTTTTTGACAAATTTTTAATTACAATTTTTTTATTCGGGTATGACATACCCGGCGCATGTTCTCGTGTTCGTCGGATCGGTGCGTGTGCTCACGGGTTAATTTTGAAAGACAAATTATTTTTTAATTGAAGAAGTCATTCATTTTCTGAGCTGATGATATTTTTCAGATACAGAACAAAGTATTTAATAATACAAATTTTAATATCTAATGCATTTATTTGCACACTATCTTTTTCAGTACATGTGAAATAAGATTGTAATTACCTGTCCATCTAAAAGTTTGGTGAAATCGGGCTTAAGATAAAATATTATTCCTTTCATTGCACCATTAAGAGTAACACCACGAATCAAGAGAATAGTGAGCATAACATAAGGAAATGTTGCAGTAAAGTACACAACCTGAAACACAGTAGTCATGATTACAACATACGATTACTTAAGATACAAAGGAAAAAATACTATTATCAAATGTTAAAATTTACATGCCTTCCATGCATCATATAATGTTAACAAATACTTAATCTCAGACCATTCAATAAAAGCATAGCCAGTGCTTTCATTAAATTAACATGCAATACTGGATTATCAGAACAAGTTAAAATTTCTTTAAAATTTTTATACTCTCACAAATCTAGAAAATTAGGCATATAATTTCCAGTAATTCATTTTCAGATTACCAGAAAAGTTATAATTTAAACATAAAATTGTAATGGGCTGCTGAAGTTAAGATTCCTTTACACTGTAGTCATGAACTACAGAAGACTTAGCAAACAATTTTCTAGAATTTTTCCTTTCTTCCATTATTCATGAAAGTTTCATTTTAAAATTTAAAAAAAAAAAAAAAAAAAAAAAAAAAGGAGAGAGAGAGAGAGAGAATAAGAAAATTAATAAAAAAAACGAAGTTTTGAGATATATTTTAGAAGTACCTCTTAGTAGCATATGATAGTGTTAGTACAGTCAAAAGTTGTTAATCCGGACTCGTCGGGACTTCGGCGATTCCGAATTATCGGTTTTTCCGGATTACAGATCATCAGTTTAAATGTGGTAAGATGGCATGCAGAAATTATAAAATTAAAATATGAAACTGTAATTTATGAAATAAAGAACAATTATGATCTAAAGAGTATCAAATTTACAAAAAAAAAAAAAAAAAAAAAAAAAAAAAAAAAGCTTAATATTTATTTGTTTACTTTATTAAACATTTCTTTCAATATAAGTTGCTTCCTTTTATGTGATAATACTTTCTCTTTAATTCTATAAACAGACATAATTTCTTGTTCAGTTACAAAGTTCCGCTGTTCAAGTCCTATAATTGCTGTGTCGAGAATACCGACTAATTTGTCAATCGAAATTTTTTCGTTTTCAATAACTTCTGTGTCACTTTCTTCACTATCGGAAGCAAATTATAATGACGAGGAATTTGATTTAAATCATATCAAAGACGGAATACATTGAGATGAAATACTACATTTAGTAAGGAATTAAAAGCCAAATAAAATGAAAACATCTGCTTTGAAGATAAGGACAGTGCTGACAGATCAACTTCCAATTCATTGCACGCCGCGGCGTTTCCCTCCCCCTCCCGCCGCAGCGTGAAATTGATAAACAAATTTTGGAATGGTTAGAGAAAAAAAAAGATATGCCTTTATCCATTTTTTGCAGCAATTCCACTTTTTATTTAATGGACTTCGAAACATACTTTCGATTTGTAGATCCTTTACATATTAGTAAATATATATCGGAAATTCTATTTCACATAATTGAAAGTTCAAGCTTACTTTTATAAATTGCTCTAACAGTCTGCGAAAAATAATAAGCCGGATCCAATTCGAAGATTAAGGTACAACGCAATCTGCAACATTAACTGAATTAGATAATTTTAGCTTAGTTTATACCATCCGTTATACATTAAACGTACTTTGCGCATGCGCACACGCATATTCGCAGCCGTAAAGTTCTTACGCGCATGCGTCAACGCAACGCAGAAAGTTTGTAGCTTTGAGGTCCGGATTATGGGTGTCCGAATTGACGACTTTTGACTGTATTTATTTTTTGCTTAGTTATGCAAAATATACTGCTGCAGACTTTTTCAGACATACTTTTCCTGTCCATTTCACTCCCTTCCATATACAGAAGTAGCAAATGATCCATGCTAAAAATAATGTTAAGGCCAATTCCCACCGGATAGTTCCGGGATCATGAATGCCAGAAGAGATTTGCAGAACCTTTCGTCTGTAAAATACAAACATATTTCGAAGTTATGGCAGAAAAAATAAATAAACAAATAAAAACACATTATATAAACTAATTTTAAATGATTATCCATGAAAGAATTTTGGCTAGTTTGTTTACAAAAATATATGCATTACATTTATAACTTGGACTATGCAGATGAAAAATGCATTTCCTAAAAAAAAAGGAAACTTGAAAAACCGAGTTAATGACATATTTGCTTTCGTTATATATATAAAAAAAAAAGACTTAGGGGGAGGGAATCTTCTAACCTGGCTTTTTAAATTGAATAATAGTAAACAGTGACTCAGTGTCCGATTTATATCTTTAGAAGCACTTCAAAGATTTTGATGCCGCCATACATATGCTTACGCCATTGCCTTCTTCATTCCTTCTCATTTGATTTTAGTTAGATGCATTATGCATGCATTCCATGGTAAAATCAGCAATGGGAAATTTTCTGGTGCCATCTTTCCTAAATAACCAGGGATCTTTTTGAGGTGCCCCCTTTCCTTGATGTCCTATACTTTTATTGCTTAATGATTAATCCAGGCCTGCTATAAAGTATCTTTAACATTATGAAAATACATGCACAAGAATCCTACAGAAAATAGTAATCTATACAATTTTTCACAACAAACGTGTTTTGGTGATGTTATGGACACATTCGTCCGCTTATGGCATCAGATTTCTAAAAAGAGAAAACATCCTAATCTGGCCATTTTCATAACAGCAAAAACAAACATTGCCGGTATCATTGTAGGGATTTACTTAGTTTGACTAACAGTTAATTTTTAGCTAAAGCAGCTTTCTTTTCAGTCTCGTTTTCACCCATGCTTTCTGGCCAGAATGATAATAAACTAGCGCGATTGTATTCTAATGAGGCAAAAGGTGGGAAGGTGTTTAAGGGAAGGTGTTTAATTAAGGGAAGGTGTTTTTAGAGCGTACCCGTAGTTTTTAAATGCCTGCTTCTTATTTAAATGCCGTTCTTATTTTTGAGCTACTAGCCATTTGACTCTGTGACGTTGAGTGCTTCTAGCCATTAAGCATGTCTTCAGCCGACTTCTAGAGTCAGAGCCTTCCTGCGCGCTACATTATCCGTGTGTACCGTTAGGCCAAATTTAATGCATTTTATTTTAAGTTCACCGTTACCTGTTTGAGTTAAACTAGACGTGTTGGCTTTGTGTAAGCCCAAGTGGAGCCATCTGTGCAACTATATTTGATTGAATAAAGTGTTCTTTAGACCCTTTATCTGACTTTCTGTTATCATTAAGACCTGGGGATAATTCCTCATATAATCATTTAGAGCTCGTGGATTTATACTACCAAAAAGTGCGAGACCGTATACTGGCATCCGAGCAATAAGAACTGTGCCACGGGAAACTTCACCATTCAGAGTGATTTCCTCAACGTAGCAAGCCTGTGTTCCACAGTCAATGGCCGATGCTATTCACACCAGCGGTGAGATTAGCCGCTTAAGCAATTCACACCAACATTAAACCACGCATGCGCATCGAGTTGCCAGATCCGTCATTTGAACCCAATCGAAATGAACGAATTCTATGTATGAGAACTGCCTAAGTGTAGTGAATCTTTTTTTTTTTTTTTTTTTAGGCAGGCTACCTACCTTGGCGTATTTTATCATTTTTTAAGCATTGGCGACTTTCAAAAGTTTAGAAAAGAAAATAGGTTCCTTTTCTTATAAAAAGAAGGAACACATTTCCTTTTATTAAAATATAAAAAAATAAAAATGGTCAGATTTTTATGGAGGCAATATTTATCGTTTTTCTGAGCGGTTGGAATAGTTTAAACGGCTGATTTGGGGGGGGGACACAAAATGTCCTTGTTTGCATTTTTTGTTCTTAGAATACATTTAGCTTCAAAGATGTGTTTTGTGCAATCAAGACATTCCTCTTCTCTTCATTCCTCTTTGAAAATTTGCGTCCCAGGAAAGATAATAAAAATTAGACTGAGGATTTCTGTGTAGAAAATTTAGACATGACATAAGTTAAAAGTGATTAAATAAACTATTAAATGAACAATTAATCATATAATACTGGTCATTAACAATTCTGTATACCTGTTTATTTTTCTTTATGGAAATACTTGGCATTTTCAGGACACAAAAAGTACTTCAAAGAACTTTGAAATATTAACACAAACACATTAATAAATTAAATTGAAATAAATAATGAGATGTAATTTAGAAGACAGAAATAATTTAATGTAAGAAATTTAGATTTAAAAATTTGCACACACAAATGATTTATCAGATTTTTATAAGGTTTTATTTCATAGATAACTTTGATTTTGAAGTATGGCATTTGAACCTATAAACATGTGTGGATACTGAAAAAGTGATGAACATATAAGAATATTATAATTTTCAGTAAATTTTCTTATTGAATAATAAATTCTGACAGTCCTATGCTATAAGAGTAGGATCTAAGCTTGCATAAAAATTCCTCTGTTAAATAAATAAAAGAATTTAAGTATTTTCTGTAGCCTTTTTGTCAATACATTAAAGATTTTTTAACTAATTACACGTCCTCGCTTGCAATTAGAACCATCATTCAATCCCTATTTTATCTAATCATTTCCTGAACATTATCATGTACATAGATTGACCTCGTCTTTGTAACTGATAATTATTACTTGCAATTTATTCTCTTGCTGGTGAAATATTAACAACCCTTTCTATTGCTGAGTTGGGTTAACAACCTTCGCTATCGCTACCGCTTGCCTTGCTGGTACCTGGGCTGATTGAGCGCATGCTCGAACATGGGTGGTGTGAATAGCCTCTTAGCTATTCGCACCGTCGGTGCGATTAACCACTGCGACAGTCAATAACCATGGAGGGGTTTGGATTTATTGTTGACACACTTAGAGCTGCCAATAGCAACTTTTGACGGAAATAACTCAGCCTTAAAATTTTTTTAACAGTTAAGTTCGATTTTCTGCAGCATCCAGTACCAGAGCCGCAGAAAGCTACCACTGTCAAGTCTGCCATTAGAGGACAGGTTTCCAAGTGGTACAAATGCATCGTCAAATTTGTGTTGGGTGAGCCTGGCAGTAAAATCTCCAATTTCGGAAATTCTAAGTATGCACTATTTAAAGCATTCCCCACTGTCAAGGACACAGACAAGCTCCAGTTGGAGGTATTTAGTAAATTTCGTATAAAATCGAGAATTTGACGGACTTCATGTTGCAGAAAGTCCAAATTTTTAATTTGATATACGGCAAGAGTGCCGGATGCAGAAATAATTCAAATACTATTGCCGCGACTACTACACTAAGTGCAGGATTATTTCGGGCTCCGAAATCTAACAATGTTGAAAAGCTTATAGCCACCAGAAACCAAGAGCGGTCTGTGGTGGGCTTCAAAAGGGGCTATTCTTAATTTTTGACACCGCAGCTGTCCATGGAATATTTAGGGCCAGAGGAAAGGCACAAGATAAAATCCCTGGTAAGGAATATTGCAAAAACCTTTTTGATAATAATCCTGGGTTATATGAATATTATTAATTAAGCGACTGACACAGGGAATTCGGTATCACTAAGAACTAAACTTTATTGTTACCATAAGGTTAAGGAAAATAATCATCGAGGACCATATAAAAGAGATGTTAAGAAACAAAATTATAAGCATAATCAGCAGTCCGTATGCGAGCCTCGTAGTTTTGTGTAGGAAAAAAAAAATAATCTCCCACCTACCAATCATAAAGCACAGCGTTTCGCCATTGACTATACAAAACTAAATAGTATTACCAAGTATCCTGTCTATACCTTGCCAATAATTGAAGAAATAATCCGAAAAATTAAATACACGAAATTCATAATAACGTTGTATCTCACATCCGGGTATTTTCAAATTGGCGTGAAGCTCGATGATGTACCTAAGACAGGGTTTATTATTAAGGTCCAGTGTCTAGGCTTTCTTAAGAATGCCGTTTGGATATATGTTAGATAAAGGGCGCCTGCCACTTTCCAGGGCGCTATGGATATAATCTTGCGACTAGTCTTCTGAATAAACACTTTAACCAGGCTTCCTAAGGTAGTCTAGTCCTAAATTGCTTACATTTGGCATTCAAATTTTGCTGGAGCGCAGCAGAATTCAAAAGGCATTACTTAAAAGCCACAATCCTTGATTGGTAGGAAACGAAGTCTTCTCTTTTCACTAGTTAGTAAGCCGCTCTTCATATCCAATGGTGAAAACTATTTGTCCCCTGCAAACATCTCTAAGGTGCCGTCGATTTTAGGCAAAGAAAAACTGTCTACGACATTTGATGTCTGTCATTGACAAAAAAATTGGGCGGAGTAGTCTTTCTTTCAAATTAAGACTCCCAAGGACAAGATAAGGACTCAATAACGTCATACTCTAGCATCTCCTTCAGAGGATTTCTGTTTGTTAACAGCAGGATAATTTCCTGTGTCGATTCAGTGTTGTATCTCAATCGCACGATCAAAATTACCAGATTAAATTGAGAAGAAATCTTTAAATTCTTCTATGAAACGACTTGCAGTTCGAATATGACTAGCAGTTAATTCTCTGCTAACAATTAAATCTTTTAATTCATATGAAATTATATTCTGATAGATGAAACTTAACACAATACTAGTGACAAGTCAACATTAAGCAGTTTCCTTTCCTTTTGTAAAAGTGCGTGGCCTGTTTACTTACACTGGTACTTCTGACTGGTATGCTTTCTTCTGTAGAATACACTAGAACAGCCGAAATTAAAGTCCTTTCCTATGGGAATGTGTATACTCCTTAAGTAAATCAACAATTCTTACGCATAGTCTTTCGTGAGTTTGCGTTATACCACTAATGAAGTATTCTGTTTTTCTGTATGTATGTAGAGTGATATTTTTTTTATGAGTAGTTATCATATAAAAGTACACACTTCCATTTCATTCACTTCAAATTTCGATATTTTTTCATTAGCGGCCCTCAGTTTGTTAAAGCAAAATCCATATTCCTAAAGAAGTCAAGCGCACCA